TGCGAAGGGAGCATTTTACCGAGGACTTTTTAAAATGCTCGCTGGTTGTGACTCTGCCTTTTAAGAAACTGCCTCTGGAAGCTGGTACCAGAGCTGTCCTGGGACCAGCTCAGGGCAGCCGTCCAGGCAGGCTGTGAAGGGAGCTGGGCCGAAGGAGGACGGGGGCCAGGGAGGGCCGTGTGTGGCGGTTCCGTCGTTTCCGCCCCGCGGTCGGTCCTGCCCCCGAGTGTGGCTGCCTCGTCCCCCGCCTCTGGCAGCCCACGTTCGTCCCCTTAGAGTCCATCCCCCCATCTTCGTGACTCTTTGGAGACCTGTCTTCTTGTTCTTCGGCTCCCGTCCATCAGCTTTCTTGTTCTCTTTCGCTTTTTGATATGATTCTTTCCCCTAGAGATTTTGCGAACCTCCATTTTAGGTGAAATCCCAGTGACCTTAATATGAATTAATTTATCAAGGAGTTCCATCCCAGCCCCACCCACCCACTAGAATCTGAGTGATCCTAAGGGCAGAGCACGGTCATAAACCGTGCGCGTGCGTGCGTGTGTGCGTATGTGTGCGCGTGTTTGAGAGCTAGGTAAAAGCTATTGATAAGCAGTTTGTACTAGAAAAATAAACGGTCTTTGGTGAGTGCCTTATGGGGCCTGTTGTTGTTAACTCTGTAGAAGTACCGACACGTGGACAACATCATGTTTGAGAACCACACGGTCGCTGACCGCTTCCTCGACTTCTGGCGGAGGACGGGGAGCCAGCATCTCGGGTACTTGTACGGGCGCTACACGGAGCACAAGGACATCCCTCTCGGCGTCAGGGCCGAGGTGGCGGCCATTTATGAGCCTCCTCAGGTGGGACCTGCGTTCCGGGGTCTTTGCATTTCTTTGTCGCGAAGGCTGTGCGGGTGCCCTTTCAGACTGCTTGTGCTTTTGCTTTGTGGTTTGCCCAGTCTCTGTCTGTCTCTGCGTGCGTGTGTGCACACACGATATTTGCTTTCTGAATAACTGGAGAGGAAGCCCATAGTCCCTACATACTTCAGTGTGTACTTCCAAAAAATAAGGACGTTTTCTTAACGTTTATCAACTTAAGGAACTTGAACGTTGACACAATACTTTTTTCTCTAACTTGCTGTCTGTGTTCCACTTTTGTTAGTTGCCCCCAAAACGTCAAAATTGCTTCCTCCCGTCTCAGAATTCTGTATCTTCTCCACCCGTGCCTGCAGTCGGCTATTTCAGGAATGACGGAATGAGAATCCCAGAATTACTGTTCACGGCCGCGTGGGAACAAAAGCAGCGGCCGCCGACCGCCGGTGTAGGACTGCGAATGGTGTCCGTTATCGCTGGGGTGCGGGGGGAGGAGCCGTAGGGTATGTCACAGTAGGGACCAGCAGCGAGTTACTGTGCTTTACAGTCACTTGCAAGGTCCTTTCTATATGATTGTGCCACCAGCTTGTTACATACTTACGCCCATTAGTGGTACTTTGTTTTCGACATTTAGGGGTTGGTTTTATGTCTTGTGAACACATTAAATTCTAGTTGGCAGTTGATGGTGTCCATGCCGACGCGGGGGAGGTGCGCCCGTGTCTGCAGTTCACTGCAAGACAGAACAAGGGGACAGGCTGAGGGGTGATGGGGGGTGGGCAGGGCCTGGGAAGTGTTAATGGCTGAAGGCGCTGGGCACAGAGGCGTTCGCTGTAAAGTTCTTTAGATTTTTTTGTATATTTGAAATTTTTATACAAGAATATTGAAAAAGGAAAAAATATGCACATTTCTAAAGTCAGGTCTGCAAGCAAAGGTATTCCCCTTCATCCTCTTCCCTCCCCTGTGGGTAGCCCCACCTGCAAGAATTTCTGGTTTGGACTTCTAAAGTGGGATTTTTTAAACGTAAGCAGATACTCACAGATAGCCGTACTGTTCTCGTCCTTTGTGTCTTTGGGTCTGTCTGTACTGTACTATACATGCCTTTGTCACCTGGCCATACTCTGGAGAGCATAGACCAGGGTCCGACAGTGCGGGCTCAAGCTCAGCGGCTGGGTGTAGGTCTGTGGCCACGAGGCCAGCGTCTCCCCGCTGCGTTCACAGGTTTTGGGTAGTCCCGGCCCCACTGACGTTTGTGGATACAAATACAGGCCCTTGTGATGGATCCTTTCAAAGGAGACACGAGGTGGCAGTAGACACCCCACCAGAGGGAGCCCAGTCACCTGATTCTCAGCCACTCAGTGTGCTCCAGTCAGGGGCTGCTGGCGGCAGCAGGAGCGGCACGCGTGCGGCTTGGTAGGGAGTCTCTCCCCTGACGAGTTTCGACCGTGCTGTTAAGAGTATGATGGGACGAGAAGCCGGACAGAAACCCCTGGCATCCAGATGACAAGCAGCACCGCCAGAGTCCCCGGTTTGGCGGTCCGAGAGGTGAAACGTTGACCTCCGAAAACCTCTACCTCTTGAGAAGTTGAAGCTCATGCAGCCACGTGTTGTGAAAGCGGCTCTGCCCTCTGCCCCGGAGGTGTTGAAGGTCCGCAGCCGGGCGCCAGTGGCAGCATGCACTTCCTGTGTTGTTCTGCTAGAATCTGACTAGTTTACAGGATGGACCGGTCAGGAAGCTCGGTTCTGGCTTCCACTCACTGTCCTGTTTCTGCCACCGGGCAGGGCTTCTGCTCACCGGCTACTTATTGCCCATGGGTGTGCCCAGCCTGCGTCTCCCCGCGGGCAAAAGGTTGTGGCCAGCCCTGCCTACTGCGGGGTGTCGGGCTGCGTGCCAGCCAGCCAAACCGGAGCCAGCACTGCCCGCCAGCCAGCAGGGCGCCCACTTGAGGTGTCTTTTCGGTTGCTGAGGGCATATGTGTCTGTCCGTCTTACTCATACTTGGCTGTGGAGCTAAGCACTGCCCTGCAGGAGCTGCTCGCAAATGTCCCAGGGCTGTGCCCAGGGGACGGGGGCCACCTCACCTCACAGCTCTCATCTCGCCTGTCCAAGGGGGCTTGGGAACAAACTTCTTTCTCCAACTGAGGAACCTTAGAACCCGTGTAGAGAGCTTTCCTCAGTCCTGACCAATGCCACATGTGACGCAGAACTGTCACCTAAGCCAGCCTGCGTCCCGCATCTCTGTTCTCTGAGTCTTTTTCATTAAATTAATTAACTAATTTTTTATGGTGACATTGGTTAACGAAATCCAGTAAGTTTCATCTGTACACTTTAACAGTAAGGCGTATACATGTTTACACTGTGTTCACCTCCCATAGTTAGATTTCTTTCTGTCACCACGTATTCTCCTGGAGTCTTGATGCAAAGCGCGAGGCAGCCTGAAAAGGGAAAAGCCCCGAGGGGCTTGCGCTGTGTTTTATCTGGTTGCTTTGAGCTTTTTCTGCTGCTGTCACTCTCCCTTTGGCAAGGGGGAGGCTAGTGTTTTTTGGTGACAACTGAGCCAAAAATGGAGCGGAGTAGCTGGGCTGCTTTTCCGAGCCCACTCCCCTAAACCCGCCTCTTCCTTTAATGCCCCGACAGATTGGTACACAGAACAGCTTGGAGCTCCTTGAAGACCCAAAAGCCGAGGTGGTGGATGAGATCGCTGCCAAACTTGGCCTGAGGAAGGTACCAGGGGCCCGGGGGCGGGGGGCTGGGCTCTGTGTCAGGGACATCCAGGTGGGCAGCATGGCTAGGCCTTGTCTGGGACTGAACTCGGCTGCAGAAGGTCAGACGCAGGCCGGCACGTTTGGAGGTCTCACTTGCATTTATTGGGTACCAGTAACGTTTATGTTTCTCTGATTCAAAGTAAAATGAGAGCATTTCCCTGAGCATAAAGAAAAAGGATTCCAGTGCAGGGGCCGTTACACTTGCATATGCCAGCTGTGCCTCTTGGGCACTGCTTCAGCGGGAAGGAAGAAGCAGCGGAAACAAGACCCCTTCTTCCTGCCCGGGGAGGGGCCTTGGGGCCAGGCCGTGTCCTGCCGCCTGGCCGCAGCACGTCGAGGGCGCGTGCTTTCTTCATGTGCCTTCAAGGCGCTCATCTTCTGCCTGTGCGCCCGGAGCTTCGGGCTGCGGGGTTCGGGGTTCCCTTTTCAAGTATCATTGAATTTCCTGTTTATGGCTCAGGGGTCTGAGCACGTATCCTTCCTGGCTTTACTAGCAGTTAGAAGACAAGGAAGAATTTTCTTTCCGAGTCTGTCGACCTAGTCTATCTCACATCTGCAGTGAAGTTCTCAGGAACTTTGAAGGTGGCTTCTGTGGCTACACGGTAAACTGTGAGCTTGAACACATCTTGGATGTTCACTGTTATAGCTGTGCAAGTTTTTATTCTCTACTTCCTAATCAGTTTAGACAGTGAAAAAGAAATTGCCTACGGCTAAAGGGGGGAAACTGGAAATGGACTAGCCTAGGAAGGTTCTAGAACAAAGTCACTCTACCATTCTAAGAAAATACTTTTAAGAAAAAAAGCGTCCTGTTATCTTTAGTGAGGAGTCTGCATCTTGATTTAGGGTCGTATTTCTATTTAAATTCTGTAAGTTTTTCTTGTTCGCGAGAGAAACTGGTAGTTTTCTGTCCTAGGTTTGCTATAAGCGTGTAGCTCGCTGTTACTGTAGCACGACAGATGGTCTAGACGAAGCCACTCAAATGCCTTGAGCACAGCCTGGTCCCTCAGCCCCTCCCGCCTCGGGGACGCGGCCTGCTTCCTTTAACGCTCACTCACGGTTCTCCTTTACGTCTCATTTTCCGCGTCGCCATCCTACTCGTGGTTTTTGTTGATTTGGGCATTTTTAAGGTACATGAGAGTCTCTGGATTTGCCCAGTCACGTCTGCAGCAGATGGATTTGAAGGATTCTGTGTCAGGGTTGTGCTGGAAGGCGTCCCGGGCACCAGGTCACTTTTCCAAAGGACAGAAGTGGGTTGTGTGCCAGGATTCCAGACCGGCTCGTAAACCTCCCCGCCAGGTCCCGGGTCAGGAAGGGTGACCAGCTCGTGGGCACCGGAGGGCCAGGATCACAGCACACAGATAGGACTGTCACTGCGCGGGACACGCCGGGGAGGCCGACCCTGCCCCCAGCTTGGGGAACGGCCTGAGGATGCCCCAGAAACAGGGTTTCACATCCTGTACCCCAGGTGCTTCCTTCAGCCCTGCAGGGGGAGCTCAAAGGAGCCACTGGGCCAGGTCCCCCTGGCGCATTCCTTCCTGTGCCAGCGCCGGCCCAGGGAGTCAGCCCCGCACCGGGACCTTCCGCCTCGTTTGCTCGTCGTCTCTGTGCCTCGCCGTTGTGCACGTTCCCTTTTCACCGGCGTTATGTTCGCTCTGCTGACACCTGGGGCCCCTACCCCCAGCATGGTGCCGGGCAGGGCTTTCCCCGTGAATCTGGGAGCTCTGATCCTTTGCCCTCCTGCCAGCCTGGCAGCACTGCGGGGGTGGCTGGCTTCACCAGGGCAGAGTTGAGAAGCCCTGCTGCGGCCTCATATCTGAGGCAAGGGACCGACTCCCCTAGGAAGGAAGAACAGGCTCACAGAGCTCTCCCTGTGGACAGCGTGACCTTGGGCTCTGGGCAGAAGCCATAAAATACCTATCACCTGTTTCGGGGGGGACTCAAGACAATTCCCTTGTTGTGCAGGTTGGCTGGATATTTACGGACCTTGTCTCAGAGGACACCCGAAAGGGCACAGTCCGATACAGCCGGAATAAGGTGAGGTGGGTGGCAGCGCGCGCGGGGGTCTCCGCTCAGCCCATTCTGGCTTTGAGACCAAATTGTCTTCCACACAGCGTTCTTGGTAAATTAAGGCTGGGCTGCTGATTCTGCCTTGTAGAGCAAAGCCCCCTGACCTTTACAAACCAGCGCGCTCTGGAGGTCAGCCCACGGGGTGGGTCACCCGAGCCTCCGGCCTTGCCGGTTGTGCATGTGTGTACGTGAGGGCTCTAACAGCTGGGGCTGCAGCTGTTCGTTTCTCTGCGGTTTCCTGGCACATTGTAGTTTACTTCCTAATATCTTCTAAAGAGCCAACAGAAGCATGTTTCGATGCGCTGCTGTAAAACGTGATATGCTGGTCCTCTTTCCGTAGGACACCTATTTCTTGAGTGCAGAAGAATGTATCACTGCAGGAGACTTCCAAAATAAGCACCCCAACATATGTCGGCTCTCTCCAGACGGACACTTTGGATCCAAGTTCGTTACTGCTGTGGCTACAGGTATTAACGGAGATGGTTACAGTATAATATTATTACTTGTTAATGTGTTTTGTTCCTCTTTTCATCCTGAACTTAATTACCGTAGAGTTTCTTAATGGGCCTGTGAGATAGAGATTCCTCTCTTCGGTTCGTGGTAAAAAGCCTGAACGTATCAGCATCACTCACAAAACTGCTAGAGTCGGGGCCTCAGTGTGGGTCTCCCTGTCCCGCTCTCTCATCCCAAGTCCAAGTTAACTGGGCTCTAGATCAGAGCTCGAGGCCGCCTTTGCCCCTTTCCAGTAACCAAAGACGCCTGTGGCTATCGAGGACAAAAGGGATCTGCTGTTTCTGTTCCTTGCTTGTTATCGACATTTTGAATGGGGTGTCATTTTAAGAAACCGTTTCTATAAAGCTTTTTTTGAAGTGACGTGGTATGTGTGTGATGTCATGTACGTTATATTACATTTTATGGAGGTTATAAATATATAATAATAAAAGATTATGCTCTGTAAAGTGCTACCAAATCTTTTATAATGTGCTTGAGAGTCAGTCCTAGAAAAAAGCCAGAAATAGGACCATACAGTTTGAAAGGAATAGGAGTCTGAAACTGGGAGAGCCAACTCATAAAAAACACAATCTGTTTGGTCAGGTTTTTAAAGTACACACTAACCTCGATCCTGGGAAGACCCGGATCGTTAAGTCCCAGAGATGATCGTTAAGTTCGTGCTTCGTACCCATCCTTCCCTTAGTCCTGTCTAAAGAAGCACCCTTTAATTTAACGAACACCAGCTTACAAACAGCCCAAACATGTAAGTAACTAGATCCCCTCTTCATCCCAGTCGGCCTGCTCCCACTGCCGTGGGAACCGTGAGAGCAGCTTCACGCAGCCTGAGTTGTTAGGACCCACTGCTTTAAGACCCATTCAGATTGACAGGCGCCCTGTTTTTGAAATAAATGAGCTTTGAGGAGTGGGAGGCAGGCACCATCTTTCCCGTGTTAGTGTGGATTAATTGGGTTGATTTACTTTCCTAAGTTGTTATTGGATCAGGTGCTTAAGGGCGTGGGTGGGGTTTTAGCGAGGAATAAAGGAGACAGTGGTTGTGCAGCACGGAGCCCTTTCTCCAGGGCAGACTGGGCGGGGTCTGTCCTGATGGGAATGTTCAGGGCAGTAGGACAGTGGCTGGAGTGGACGCTAAGGACAGGAGCAGAAAATAGATGCATTTTATGTAAGATACATTCGATTCTAATCTCAGATCATCATAAACAGGAGTTTTTGTCTCTGCGAGTGCAGGGGACATTCAGGGTCATTTGGGATGTGGAACAGTTCTTTGTTGTGTGGGACTCTCCTGAACTCAGTGGGACGTCTGCCACCTTTGACTCCGGCCTGCTAAACCTTCCCGTCACTGTTGAGCGACCAGAAATCACCTGCACAGATTTCCGGAACTGCCCTCGTGGGAACAGCTGTTTTAGGTTCCACAGCTTCCGTGGTAACCTGACTCTTTTAATTACTGTTTCTGTGAGGAATTACTTGCTGGGCCAAAGGAACGGGCACGTTTTGGGGATTATAAACAGTTTCTGACTTGGGGGATTCCTGGGCCTTCGGTTACAGTCACACTTCTTGTGGGAGTTTGGAACATACAGACTGTCTGATTGTCCCTGGACTTTTTGCCTCTGAAAGTGGCACTTGACTGAAAGGTTTTAGAACTGGGAGACAGTAAATGACGTATAAGGTCTGCTGTTAGGGTCCTTCGTGTCTGCGCGGAGTCGTCCACCTCCGCGATGCTGCAATGTTCTGACTCGTTTCCCTGGGGCCAGCGAACGGAAGGGTGGTTGTCCCAGGTGTCACAGGTCTTTCCCCAAAGGAAGTCTGCTCTCCTCATCAGTGGTTCCCAGCCAGGGGCCTGGCGCTCCCACCCTGTGGAGCTGTTTGCAAAGCACCGTGTCCGGCCCATCCCCCAGGCCCTGGTGGGGCCGGAAGGAGCCGGCGGGAGTGAGTGTGTATGTCCGTGTGGCCGTCTCCCAGGAGGCTGACTGACCGTTGCATCACGGGGTTTGTGGTGCTTCTGCAGACACAGGGCTCTCAGCTGTCCCCACAGCCGATGCTGAAGCCGCATGCCCAGGCTGGGGTGTCGAGGCCCCGTGTCTGCGGGCCCCTCCCCGCCAGGAACTTCTCGGGCCAGAGGCTTTTAGCGGAGTGTTGGTGGTGTGGTGCGTGGGGTTGCTCGCGTGAGCCTGAAGGCTCCTGTGGACGGAGAATGTCATGGGCTCGAGTTCAAACTCCCTGCTGTGACGCCAGTGTCCCCACGTCTTTGTCATTTGGCACACTCATTTCTCTGGGCCGTGGAAGTCCCTTTTCGAGGCTGTGCCTCCAGTTCAGTAGCAGCCGAGTCCTTCCCGTCACGGCCCCTTTCCGTCCTTCGTGTGGACTTGCCGACAGGCTGACGGGACGGGGGCGGTCGCTGAGCCGTCCGGCCTCCCGGGCATCGTGGCCAGGGTTCCGTCTCCGCGAGGCTGAGTACGGACCCCTGCGATGCCTCTCAGCGAGTCTGCCATGGAGCCTGTCCCCGTGGACGGGGCCGGCTCTTCCTGACAGCCTTCGGTTCCACAAATGCTGCTTCCCATTTTTCTCTGCTTCTCCAAGATCAGAGTTTTTTTTAACAACCTGTCACACTTTAATGATTAATCTAAAAACAAGTGCAGGTTTCAGTGCCCGCAGGAAACAGCCGAACGCACAGACTGAGGGCGGCTATGCCTGCTCCGTCCCGCCCCGCCCCGCAGCCCGCGCTCATCCGCGCTGCGGTATCCACGTGGACGCGGCCGAGGGCGGGGCCCTGGCCATCTGTGCTCATCGCCCGGGCCTGGCCACCTCTCCTAGGCGAGAGTGCGGGTCACAGAGCTGCTGGACTTGGCCTTTGGAGCCAAAGTCGACTCGGCATTTGGAAGCCGGCTGCCATCGGCCTGGCGTGCGAAGTCAAGCAGACAGCAGGCCCCTGGTCCCAAAGTCCCCTCAGGCTGCCTCCGCCCCTGTCTTTTACTTTTTCTGATGGCTTGGCCATCAGGCCTGGTTTTTGGTAAATGTTTGAAAGCCAGACAGACAAAAATTTTGTTTCCTGATCAGTAAATTCGGTTTTTGTCAAGGAAACTAGAGTCATTGAGGGTTTTTAAAATTGTCCAAAGCCATAAAAAATACAGATGTCAGAGCTGACCGAGTATAAGCCGGACTCTGGACGCACGTGTCGGTGGTGGTGGATGGCGGCCTGTCGCAGAGGCCCAGGGCCGGCCTCCACCGCAGCGTCTCGTCCCAGCCCTCTCCTCGGTGTATCTCGACTGGACCGGTCACTCAGCGGCTCCGCACTCAGCCTCAGCCGTAATTCGAAGCTGTCATTTGATGGAGTGGGGCTGAGAGAGCTGTGAGCGGATGGCGTGGGGGCGAGGCCCGGTGGGGGCCGGTGCTGCCCACGCCTCTCGCGGCGGCTGTGCTGGCTTCTCTAGGGCGGGGACCGCAGCGCGTGCGGTACAAACGCTCTGTCCTCACTGAGGACAGCTCCCGTCTCGCTCTTCTGCCTCCCGCCCCTGCCTCTCCCGGCTGCCAGGTGGGTCCACCGCCATCTCCCCCGGGCACTCAAAGTTGCCGGCGCGCAGGGCTCTGGGTCTTTGGGACCAAGGGCCCCAGTCCTGGGTGGTGCTGAGCAGAGTTCGGGCGGATATTGGGGAGCGTTGACCTGTCTTGGTTGCCGATTCTGCGAGAACGTGTCCCTGCAGTGGCGCTTTGTGCCTGCGTCCAAGGCTCGAGCCCCTCGTGACTGCCATTGGACGTTTCTGAATTCTGCCACGATGGGCTCCTCGGAGCTTGTGTGCTCTCTCGGTCTGAGGGGAAGAGAACAGATACGGACTCGTCCTGAATGTCCTGTGGGGGATTCTCACTGAAGGTGTCTCTCTTGCAGGTGGCCCCGACAACCAGGTCCACTTTGAAGGGTACCAGGTGTCCAATCAGTGCATGGCGCTGGTCCGTGACGAGTGCCTGCTGCCGTGCAAGGACGCCCCTGAGCTCGGCTACGTCAAGGAGTCCAGCAGTGAGCAGTACGTGCCCGATGTGTTTTATAAGGTAAAATACAGCGGTGCGGAGGCGTCAGCTACGTGGAGACGGTGCAGACCCTGGCCCGCCTGGGCCTGGACTGGTTCTGGAGCTTTCTGGCCACGTTGGCCGTTGTTGGTCAGCCACGGTTGAGGTTCCCGCTTGCGGATAAAGGCATTCTATAGCATTTCCAGGGCTGGTTATCAGCTCGTCAGGCTTCTGTGGTGTTAGGGCTGAGAACCAGAAGTGGAAATAGCAGGCCCCGGGGTTGGGATCTGTAACCCCAGGCCAGACCATCGTGACACACGGACAGTTCCAGGTTCTGAGAACGCGAAGACGGCGGCTGTCAGGGCCTCCCCAGGAGGAAGGACTGGTGCTCTGTGGTGGCCGACGGGCTCGCCTGAGGGGCACCGAAGTTCCAGCTGACACGTCAAACACTTGTTGATTCTTAAGTCTTTGTTTCTTGTGAAAACTATAAAAACTATCTTTATCGGAAAACGTTAAATGGGTTGAACATGTAGGCGGTCAGTGCTTCCCGCCAGGACCAGAGACATGGTCTCACCCTCAGCTCGAGATTGTTCCTGGTCATAACCAAGGAACCTGCCTGGTCCCCACTCCGGGCAGACTCGGGGTTCCGTTTGGCGCCTTCCGCTGCCCTGAGCACGCCTGAAGCTTTCCGATGGCCTAGGGCTGCTTCTGTCTAAGGAGTATTTGTCTTCCATTTTTGAAGGGTCTTTTCACTATAGAGGATTCTGGGTTGACAGGTCTGCTCCACTGTTGCCTGGCTCTGTTTCCAAGAGGAAATCGGCTGTGACCCGCATGTGCTTCTCTGTCTATAATGTGTCCTTTCCCGCTGGCCGAGCTGTCCCCTCTGTGTCACTGGTTTCTGGCAGTTCAGTCGTGATGTGCCTGGTCGTTTTCCTCACGCGTCCCATGTTTGCGGCGTGTTGAGCTTCTTGGGGCTTTAGGTTGATGTGTCATGTTTTGGCTGTTTTGCTCATTTTCTATTGCTGCCATACCAAGTGGCCTCAAACCCGGTTCCTCTAAAACGACACCCGTGTCTTATCTCAGCCCTGTGCTCAGGATCCTGGGCGAAGCTCGGCTGCGTTCTCTGCTCCGGCTTGTCCGGTCGGGGCTCTAATGTCATCTGAGGCGGAGGTGTTGGCAGCACGGAGCCCCTTGGTGGCTGGCCCCGGGCGGTGCACAGCGTGGCCACTTGCTGCTGCTTCGGTAGCCCCTCACGAGCATCTGTCTCTCTGACTTCTGCTGCCCATAGCGCTTTGAAAGGGCTTCCTGCCGTGCGATGCGGCTCGCCCAGGCCACCCAAGGTCATCTCCCGATTTTAAGATTAGCTGGTTAGTAACCTTAATTACACCCACATAATCCCTTTTGCCACGGAAGAGGTCATGTTCATGGGCACGATGTGTCATCACAGTCACAGCCCTGGGGAGTAGGCTGGGAAATATTTCTGTTCTGTTTCAGAACTCTGTGGATGACAGGCATTAAAAAAAGTGTTCCCAGCAATGGCCTTCTGCCTGGGGCACAGCCTGATTTCTCAGCCTCTAGTGTGCTCAAAGTGGGAGAGCATCTAAGGTGGGGGCGGGCTCGCTGTCCCCACGTCACTGATCACTCTTGCTGGGTTTTTGTCGCTTGCCTGTTTGGTTTCTGGGCCCCTTCTCCCTAAGTACTGTGGGGGCGGTGGGTACTCAGCCTCCCGTGCATCTCGAGTTGAGCGGTATCTTGCGAGGAGCTGGCTGCGGCCACCCCACCCGGCTGTGGTGTTTCTGCCTCTCAGAGGCTCCCCCGAACCAGCCTGGTGGACAGCGCCAGCGGACGCCCGGGGCAGGAGTTTGGTCCATGTAGTCCTCGTTAGTCTGCTGCTTCCAGTTTTCTAATAAATTTTAAAATGAAGTTTTTGTCACTTTTTTCCTTGTGTGTGGGAGCACCGACCTGCCGTGACCTATTGTATCCTCTGAGGAAGGGGAAGTCCAGATACCTTTTCATCATTTTTGCCCTTGTTTGAAATACTTTATTGTTCTCGTTCATGTTTCTGTTCTGGAACTTTCCTTGCAGTCCTTTCTTGGCTAAGAAAGAGCTTGCTCTCATTCTAGTAAAATGCCTCTGGTTGCCTGGAGGTCACAGTAGGACCCCCCCAGGAATTGTCGTTTCTGGTTTCCAACATGCCACGTACCTTCTGGGGACCTTGTAGGTATTTCTATCTTCACGGCAGCCACGGGGCGAGGTTTCCTTGTGCTCGCTGTCATCAGTGTCATCCTTCCCATTTTTCAGTTGAGGAAATAGAGGCTCGCAGAGGGTCACCCAGCCAGTGAACGAGAGAGACGCACTGGGGGCTGGTCTGGCGGCAGAGTCTGGGCAGCCAGCAACTGCTGTGAGGAGCCTCACAGCCCTGTAAACACTTAAAATTGTAGTAGTCAGTTTGAATATTTTAGTTGCCTGACAAATGGAAAATTCTAGGATGGATTAAGAAAACCCTACTTAGTGAGCCTCACACCATGCCTGACACCAGCCTTGAGGACTTCCCTCTTACTGTCTCGCTGACGAGTTGAGCACACAGCCTCGCAGTGGGTCCCCTTTCCGGATATATTCGTTCCCAAGGGAGCGTGTCCTAAAATGGCTCACTGCGGCCTTGACATGGGTGTGCAGCTTTAGGGCCCCAGTTGGTGCCGAGGTGCTGTCGTTGACGTTTTTCTCCCACGAGCAAGTGTCCCCATGGAGTGAGAGTATCTTTTATCATAAGTGTATTTAGACACTGTGTTCATCAAGAAAATGATGTCTGACAATTTATGCCAGTAGCGATGATTTTTGTTAAAAAATTGTATTCTGGGTGTCTGCCATTTACATCAGTTTAATTTCATGATTTTTCAGTATGGTGTTATGTTTTTCTTTTTCCTCTACATTTTGTTGAAGTTTATTTTCATTAGAATGAGTTTCTTCCCAGGCATATCTCGTGAGGACTTCATCACGATCCATTTTTCAGTTGTTTCCTGTTGTGAAATGGCCTACACGTGGGAGTCCACATGCACGCGCGTCCTCGTCCCCGGGAAGCGCGCCGCACCACAGAAGGCCCGGGGCACCTCCCCACGGCGTCCACCCTTCCTTGCTCTGCCTGCTGTTTCTGCCACGTGCACGTTTCTCGCAGGCCTTTTAGAAAACGGTGTTTGAGTGGGGCCGCCGTGCTTTTCTGCAGGAGCCCCACCGGTTCGTGAGCCTTTACTCCGGGTGCACTTGAGAACTGGCTCGCAGCTCGCACCGAGACACACAGGTCTCCTTAGGGTTTCCTCAGCCCCTTTTCCATGCAGGGTCCCCGCTCTGAACATGGGAGGGTACTGCCCTGCGCCGTGTTCCTCAGTGTCCCTCACATACTTAGGGGTTTCTCTGCGAAGGGCTTGCCAATCATTCGTTTGATTGTTTCTAGGTGTTATAGTTTCCGCCTGTTTCAGAGGCATCCTTTTACAGTTAGGTTTTCAAACTGGAGCTGTTTGAAACTGGTATGTTTTTGTATTGAGCGATTTTACTGTTTGTGACTCGTTCCTCTAATTTACGTACGTGTGTGTGTGTGCACGTTCTTTCGAGCTTTCTCCACGGACGTATCGCCCAGGAATGAGAGCCCTGCTTCTCCCTTCTCATTCGTTGTGGCCCGTCGTGCTGGCCCAGGGCGCCCAGGGCGTCCGGCACGTTTGCTCTCTAATCGTAATGGAAGTGCTTTCAGATTCCATCATCAACTATGAGTTTGCTGTGGATTTTGGTTTCGTGCTGCCCTTGGTGGGGCTGGAGATCTGCTTTTTATCCCAGGCCTGTGAGGTTCTTGCCCTTGGCCCCACTCGCCTCTGTGGCCGGTGCTGCCGTTTTTGTGGGTGGCTCACCGTGAGTGTCCCAGGTTCCCTGTAGCCCTGGAGAGTTTGGGGTGTTGGTGTCTCCCGTGTTTCAGGAAATTGCCAGTTTGAGCAGAGGCCTGTGAAAGCAAACCTTGGAGTAACCCTTTTAGGTTTCTAAAATCCGAGGTCGGATTTTAACCTCACAGGCAGGACGTGCGCAGTGTTTGCCTAAGGCAGCGCATCGTGGCAGCGTCGGTGGTAACGGACGTCGGAAGCAGGCTCCAAGTCCAGTGACGGGCATTAAGTCATAATGCATCTCTGTGGCAGGAGATTATGGTCACTAACGGCGTGTATTTAAAAATTACTTAAAGATATGGGATACAACTCACGTAAAAGTAAAAATGTACCTGTGTATGTTTTTTGTGTTTTTAAAGACACGCGTGGCTGTTTCTGCCTGCATGTGCACACGTTAATCCACACTTCCACGTGGAGGGCAGGAGTGGCAGCTTGGAGGCCCGCTGGGGGGGCCTGTCCGTCCTGGGATGCGCACGCCCAGGAAGGACCTGTGCAGGTGGATGCCAGACGTCGACCTTGTGCGCTGTCCAATGTGCGTTGCTCGGGAAGCAGGGATTCCGTGTTCGACGCGGGCTCTCCTTGGTCCCCTCTTCCTAGGCTGTCTTTCTCTGACGGTCGAGGTGTCCCTGTGTGGTGTCTGGTGTCGCAGGGCACTCCAGGACCTGAAGAGTGAGAGTTAGCCAGGGGGGAGGGAGCCCATCTAGGAGCCACAAGTCCAATGCCTTGGTCAAGCGTATGCTTATGATGGGTGTGGTGGATGGCAGGAAGCCAGAAAGAGATGGAAGGTGGTTCTGGAACATCCCCAGTGGATGTATGAAGAGTGGTCTGGAGGCAGGAGGCAGCGACACAAGCATCATGCTGGTGGCCGAGCCAGGAGGGGGCAGCGGGAGAGGTGTGAGGTGGGCCTGATGTCCAATATGAGATGCAGCAGGAAGTGGCTGAAGCTGGTTAGGGGCGGGGGCCAGGTTGCCGATGCAGAAGATTCACTTGCGTGCAGAAAATGCAGAGTTGGGGAGCCCAGTGATCCAGGTTTACGTGTCTGCTCCTTGTGGCCCTTGGGGACAGAGAGGGTCCCATAGGTGCGCCGGAGCCGAGGGTCCCATAGGCTTTGCAGGGCCGCAGGAAGGAGCCCAGATGGAACCAGGGCTGTGGCTTGGGGCTGGGGTGGGGACAGGAGCGGGACACCACGGGAGTCCGGAGTAGGAGTGAGAGCAGCGGGAGTGTGTGGTGGGGTTCAGGTGCTGCTGTGTGGAGGGGAGGGGACAGGAAGGCAGTCAAGAGGTAGGCACAGAGAATGCTGTTTTCAAGGTCATCTGAACAGAAGGCCCAAATCAAAGTCCTGGACGTAGACGAGAGAAGCCGAGATTGTTCAGAGGATGAAGAGGGTGTTGGGCACACCCAGGAAACCTGCTCTCAGAGGGCTGGCCCGGCGGGGGTGGGGCCGGTGCTGAGGTCAGGTGGAGGGTGTGGGGCTCTCTGAGGGCTTGGCCATCACGTCGGTTACCCCGTCCCTCAGCCACACATGGGTCTGTCCCAGCACCTGGCGCTCATGCACAGTGCCCTGTATGCTGTCCCATGGTTCACTCTTTGCAGGTGCTCTAATGCTCGGAGCAGATTCCCAGAACCAGAATTATTTTGTTAATGGATAACATATTTCAGGGGTTTTATGCATTTTCCCAAATTCCCCTCAAAAGGGCCACACAGTTTGCACTGGAAAGTGGTCCTCGGCCTGCCCACTCAGGCGTCCGGCCCAGGCCCCCGCCGGTGCAGGCTCTCCGTGAGGACCGGCTTTCTTCGTGGCCTGCCCGCGTGTGCTTAGGGGATGGCGAGGTGATTCCTCGTATCTGCATTCACGTACGAGGTCGTCATACGTCGCAGACACGTGCCAGGCTTTCCTTTTCTTTATGATTTACATACAGAGAAGCTGAAATATTTTCTGATTTCATAAGTACAGTGATCCTTTTTCATTATAGTTTCTGCCTTTGTCATCATACTTAAGAAGCAATTCTTTACCCTAAAGGTATATGTTTACCTACATTTTCTTTTGGTGCTTTTACGATTTATTTTGACATTGAGATCCCTAATCCATTTGCCCATTATTTCTTTATTTATTGTAACTCCATAATACATTTTTGTTTTGGTTAGGGCAAGACCCTGCACTATTCAACTTCTTAAATGTTTTAATCGCATCAATTATGAATAACAGCATTGTTCAGGAAAATGGATCAATTAGTCAAGAAACTGCCAATAAGAGAAGATTCTGAACCACATGTTAGCACAGTACCCCGTCCCAGAGGAAGGACACTGTGGTACCCGAAAGCTCTGAGCTTGCTCATCACTTTTTCCCTTGAGCTGGAGGTGGCAGGTCTTGCTCGGTGTGCGTCAGCGTCAGGGTGGTGCCTGTGACCACAGGGTCCCCACGAGGGCAGTCGTGCGGCCGGGGTGTGCTGAGGCCCCACCTCGTGGGGTAGACCAGGTCTCTCACCCGCCCCGGCCCCTCCTGGCCGTAGAGTGTGGGACCTAACTCGTCTTCATAGCCTTTGTGGCCCCAGCACGCATGGGGGACCCGGCGGTTGTGCGCTCACGGTGTCGAGCCGGGACCAGCGGCTGCTCCTGTTTGCACTCACAGGCGCCTGTGGGTCTTACCAGCCGACTGCTTCTGAAACGGGGAGTTTTTCTTACTTTGTCCTATGAAGTTGCAGATGAAGCTGTTTGTGTCATTGTTCCCCTCCTCCCCAGTTCTTTAAAGGAATACACGTCGTCAGGATTTTGTTCGCGTTCACAAAGCGAGGCGGTGCCGCCCAGTCCGTGCAGTTCGCCGTTGTTCTGGCAGCGCGCCCACGTGCCTCCCCCTCACGAGGACAGACAGAGGTGCCGAACTTCTCGACGTCACAGCGCTGGTGCCGCGCTTCCCAGAGCAGCAGCGGGGCAGTGGGGCCCTCGACCGCTGGCTCCCCCGTGTCTTGCTCCGGGTGGAAGCGGAACTGCGGGCGCCCTGGCAGCTGCCAGGCTTGGAGCGGAGATGCCGCCCTCCCCGCGTGTTCCGCCTGGCATGGCCGACGCCCATCAAAAGTGACTGCCTTCTGAAATGTGGATTGGTTTGGGATTGGCTGGCCAAAGCCCTGTTCTGGAGTCATGGGGGAGAGATGGAAGTTACCTGTTTTTGCCCCGGGGAAGAGTGGGGTGCAACACCTTTATCTTCTTGGGGAGCAGAAGGGTACAGTTGGGTCGTTAAATTTGAGGGAGAATAACAGGACACAGCAAGAGAGGGGCATTTAACAAGAAGAATCCCTGGAGGGGAAGATTAAAGCGAACAGGTGCTGGCAAAATGTCTCTGCCTATTAGAGCTTAATTAGATTTGAAGATGAATTCCAGATGGGCTAATTATGAGTGAGTTGTCGCAGGTTATTTCTTGTAGGGGCAAGCGTGTATTTTTGGAAATGGTGATTTGGTTTGATGAGATTCGGTTCCCGTCTCTTACCATGTCTCCTTGAGGCATCAAGAAACCGCCGCCTCCAGGGCCCAGGACCACTCAGCAGACTCACGTCTGTGCTGCCCCTGTCGACGCCGGTAGCACCGCAGAAGGCCGGGCCCAGCCTGACCTCTGCAGAAACGAGCAGAGGACACAGCTGTCATGTGGAGGCACCGACAACCCCTACACTTCACAGGAGGGCGGGCAGACAGACAGACAGCTGTGTGTTCCCAGGAAGGCACCCTTGGATGGGGTGCTTCGCGCCCTTGTGTAGACAGCTGGTTAGACGGCTTTGGACCGCTTTCTGAGAAGGGAAAAGGTCAAGTTCTTGTCGGCAGCTCTGTTGGTTGTGAACAGAGAGCATGTCGGGAAGGCGCGGGTACACTGAGCTGTGCCCCAGCTGGAATCGCCATTTCTGGAGCAAGGCCAGATGGGGCCTCGGACCCCCCGTGAGGGCAGAGGACTTGGTCTGACTTAGGAACAGTCTGTGGCGTTTGTCTCAAAAGACAGCATGGTCTCTGGCGTCCCCAGGAAGGTGTGGCTGTGCTGGGGTGGCCTGCATCCCCCTGCTTGCCTCGGGGGTGGGGGGGTCCGCTCAGCACCCCTTCGGGTCTGAGAGCTTTAATAAACAGAAACTTTTATGTAAGTCCTCATAATTGGGAGTTATGGATGTATAATTTATGTGTGGCTCAGTGAATGATTTATATAATGTTAAGTAATGATTTAGATAGAAAATATGACCCCCCTCTTGCAGAATCGTTAATGAAAAGCATCGGTTCTTATGAGTTTATTTCTAGAGCTCTGTGTGAACACAGCATGTTTGACATAAATCAGATCTAATTGTCATTTTATGATTAATGAACATATGCTGGCCATTTTTCCCCATAATTAAACTTTATGTTCCACACATTTGACAAAGCAAAACAAGTTTAGACTTTGACAGATTGGTGGCGGGGGTCTGCGTACTTGTGTGTATGTGTACTCATTTGTGTGCATATTTTCTTAGTAATGTACAAGTATTAAGTCTCCATAAAGATGAGTTTTCAGAGGTGTAAGAGCGTGAAGAATGAGCATTCAGACCTGCGGCTGAGCAGGCTGGCAGAGGAGGAGCGGGCACAGGTGTCGCCTGAGGGCGGGCGGGCACCAGGCGAGGCAGGAGCGTGCGCTCCCTGTGGAGACTCCCGTCAGCCCGGAGCACGCTGTGCGCCCTCATCAGGGTGGTGTCAGGGCTGCCGCAGGCGCTCCAAGAAAAGATGGGTGGCGGATCCGTTGCAGAAAGGCACGTTCTCCCTTTTGCTCGTTACACATTTCAGCAAGGGTTGAAATAATTTGAAAAGTGAGCCAAGCATGCGGAAGGAGAAGCGGGCCCTGGGCAGCACCCTTCACCCACGCCGCTCACCTCTGTTTCCTGTTCCAGGACCTAGACAAGTTCGGCAACGAGATCACCCAGCTGGCCCGGCCCCTGCCCGTGGAGTACCTGATCATAGATGTGAGTGCTCGCCCCCCGCCCAGCTCCCAGCGGCCGTGTTGAGCAGGATTGCTGGGTGGGGCTGCACGAGGGTGGCACAACCTGGACAGTTGCCCCTCTGCCCGGCACGGGACAGGTACCCAGGAGGTGTTGGAATTGTCAAGCTCCTGGCATCCCTGAAAAGCTCACAACTTTAAGGGTTTTTTTCTTGGGTTCAGGATTTTTTCCCTTAAAAACAACTTAGGGGCTAACTTCTCCCAAGCTAAAGTACAACAAAGGGTCACTGACCAGGCCGAGTAGCCTTTGCAGGCCAGCGACCTGGTGTGGCCTCCTGTGCAGCATGTGTAGGCGCTGTCCAGCTCAGGGCTCAGATGCCATAGGGTGGGCTCATGGAAGGCCACTCTGAGTTGGTCCCCGAGGGACACAGCCGTGACTCTCTTCTTGAGTGAGGACCAGTGTGGTTTCCTGGAGGACTCCAGGAGCTGCGAAGGCACCTGGCTCCGATGCGTCTTCTCAGAGTCTCGGCCCCTGTCCAGCAGCCTGCTCTGCTCGTGTAGCTGTGGCCACAGATCAAGGCCGCGGGCACTGCAGGACGGAAGCCCGACCCATTTGCAGCAGTCAACAGAGGTGACGGGAGTGGCATGTTCCCTAGCTGCTGCCTGTCGCGGTCTGCTCGGGCTGCATTTGGATGCGGGATAGGCATGTGATAGGCATGCAGGCTATAAAATCTCATTGCATTTGGAGCAGCGGGTCCTCAGGAACTGAGCCCATCGTGCTCCATGCAATTGCCAGCTCCCGAGAACATGCTTATGACCTTGGCCGTGGAGGCATCCGTGTCTTAGACCACCTGGGGTGTAACTGAGACGGAAACAGACCGATGGAGCACATACTTAGGAGTCGGCGTGAGTCACGGCCAGCTCCCTAAGGTCTCCCTCCCGGCGGCCCCTGCCCCTCTTACGAAGGGCTCTTTTCCTGCCTCAGTGCAGTGCTCCATTCGTAGTTGGTTGACAACGGGACATGCCACCCTGTGATACCCAAGTTCTCTGTTCTTGTGGAAGAAGTTGAAGCAGTCTCTTGATGGCGGGTGCCCGGACACGTGTGCCCAGCTCCTCGCCCAGCTCCAGGCCCATGGCGTGGCCAGGGTCGTCTGGTCCTCAAATCTTGTGACCGGGTGGCTGTTTTAGGCAGGGAAAGGGATGAGCTGCACCCCACTGGGCTCCTGTGGAGGTTCTGTGGATGTGTCCAGGCATCAGCCCATCGACCCCAAGAGGGGCTGGGGAGGAGAGGGGAGGGTGTAAGCCCAGGCCAGGATGCCTGCCGCCCTGACTCTTCTCCCCCAGGCATCTCTCCAAGGGGCGCTTACAGGCCTGACAAGCACTATTTCCACACTTACTAGTAGGTGTTCCGTGGTGCCCATCCACTGCCATATTTGCTTCCCCAAAGGGAGGGGCGCGGGCCATCCACAGGCCTTTGCCTCAGCAGCATGGACAGCCCTCCGCTGTCCTCCAAGTCACAGAAGCAGCCTGGCCCGGGGCTTTAAGCGTCTGAGCGCATTCAGTCCTCACGGCGGCCTCAGGAGGCGCAGCCTCGGTCATCTTTATTTTGCAGGTAAACGCAGTAGCCCTGTAGCTGCGTCCATGGCCGTCTCCACAAGGCCACATGGCCTTGGTGGTGAGAGACCAGCGGCTCGGCTCAGCCTTCAGAGCGCTGACGCGGTCACTGCGAGTCTCTGCCTTCGCCGAGGTGGAACAGAGACCAGAACGTTTTCATCCTTTAGAAATAGCCCCAGAGGAACCAGAATAGCTGCCCTAAATCTGGTGCGGCGCAGTCTGCTGCCGCCGATGCCGGGTCCACCGAGAGGGAGCCGACAGCTCGCACTCGTGCACCCGCGGGGGCATCTGCCGGGAGTGAGAAACAGTCTGTGCCAGTTCTCACGTGTTGACTGCTGTCCCTGTAGCTTCCCTCGGTTAAATGCCCCCCGTCACCACGAAGGGATGTCTGAGCCAAAGGAAGGGCTGAGGCCCTTTGACGCAGGCCCTTCCCATCTTCAGGGGAAAGCGGGACGCTGTGCCCTGCATCCCCGAAGCCTCCCTTCTGCCTACCTGGACGCTCCCTGGCCCGTGGCACTGCCCCGAGGTCAAGGCCTCACCCCTGCGGCTCTCAGAACCCTCGGGCTGATTTTGCACGGGCTCTCCAGACCCGTGATGACAGCAGTCAGCTCCTGAGATGCCTTCTTGTGCCTCTCCTGTCCCCTGTTCGCCCTGGGATCCATCCACAGCTGCAGAGCAGCTGTGTGGCAGGCTCATCACATGGGAGCTGCGCCCCGGGTGGTCCCAGTAAGGCTCGAACGTGTATGTCAGAGGCCTGTCTGCGGGCCTCAAATTGCCCACCATCTTAGAAATGATGAGAGTGGATCCTTAGTTTGCTTCCCAGAGTCGGGTTTTGATTTTCATTTGGGCGATGCTCATGGGTACTTCCCCCTTTCAGGTGGAACAGCTAGGCCTCTGGCAGCTGTGAGGAACTTGGGGCTCGGGGCAGCAGGGGGCTCTTGAGGGTCGCACACACCCCAGTTCACAGCACAGTTTGTCATGGGTTTGTCTCTTTGTTCCTTAGATCACAACAACTTTCCCCAAGGATCCAGTTTATACTTTTTCTATTTCGCAAAATCCGTTTCCTATTGAAAACCGGGATGTGCTGGGTGAGACACAGGTAAGCTCCCTGCCGCAGCAGTGCAGTCACGGGCTCTGCTCTCCACCTGGCGTGGCGCTGCTGGTCCTCACTCACCTCCCAGACTGCCCGGGGTCATTCCCTGACAGCCCCGCGGGGCCTTTTTCCACTGCACTGGCTGGTGACGGGTGACCGACCACCAAGGCGAACCCCCACCAGTTCAGGCCTAAGGATTTGCCACGAGGCCCATTCTTAGTTGACGTCCCTTTTTTTTTTTTTTCCAAAATTTACTTGTCCCTTTGTGCCATCTTACAACTTTTCGTTGTTTCTTGACACGCGCCCTTTCTTTGTGGGGCTGACTCTCTCTGCTTTTCGCTCGGGCCCTGCCTTGTTGCTGCGTTTCTCAGGCAGCGTGAGAGCGTGTAGCCTCGCGTGCCATGGCCTCCGCTGTCACTGCAGGCCAGGCCAGCTCGGAACCGCCTGCCTGCCTGTGTGTCGCACGTTGATGGTTGATGGTCTCATTTGTAGCAGGCGCTGCAGAAAACGGCTCGGTCAGAGAGTGTGTGCCATGAGTTTGCACAGCGCTGGTTTGTTCGCAGAAGCTCTCTGCAACTTTGGTCCCCTCTTTGCCCATCTGCCTGGGGACCTGGGTGCTTGTAGAGCCACAGGGCCACTTGTTGGGGTGGCACTGTTGATCTCTTGTTTTTAGTCCCACTGAAGGCGTCACGTTACACCGTGTCCCCCCCACGTGCACACGCGTCCCCCTCTGCAGTACCTGCTGCCCTGGGCAACAGCGCAGCCTGGCAGACGGTGCCTGCCCGGGTCCCACTGAGAGGGAGGGCTGATTGCTGTGGGCACGTGCGGCAAGCTGGCCCCCTTCTCCCAGGAGGGTTACCCAGCTGTGCAGCACGTGCCCACAAAGAGGACTGCAACTTATTCTGCAACTATATGTCCCTTTGTCCCTGGGTTCCCATCAGTGTCACAGAAGGAGAGAGACAGCTGTCCATCAGCGTTAACTGAGTTTGGTTATGTCTCAGGAAAGACTCCTGGGCCTGGCTGGGGACTGCCCGGGACACCGTGTTTGTCTCCTGTCTCCCCGCCCCTTGTGCTAGGACTTCCACAGTTTGGCCACCTACTTGTCCCAGAGTACCTCAGCTGTATTTTTGGATACCATCTCGGATTTCCACCTCCTGCTGTTTCTGGTCACCAATGAAGTCATGCCTCTGCAGGTATGGACCGGGTCTGTGTGCCCGCTAAGCACCTGGCTTTGGTGGTCCCAGGTGGGGTTCAGCTGTAAAGGGGTGTTTCTTTTCCTCAGAACCCAGGGACTTGGGTCCAAGTCCACCCTCATGTCCTGTGGGCAGCGGCTGTTCACAAGGGGCTTGTTGATAGATGTAGTGTTTGCATCCGAACGCCTTCCGGGGTGGCTGCCCCCCACGATGGAGGCCAGTCTCCTGTGTTCGCTGCAGCCACGCGGGAAGCAGAGGTTGTTTGGGCCCGTGTCCTCTGGCATGGAGCACCAGGGCTCCAACCAGAAGACCCTGTTTTTACAGCTTTGGAACCGCAGCCCCGCTGCTTGCTGAGGTCGCCCTTTCCCTCGAGTGAGCTTCTGTCGCCTCGGCCCAGATGGCTGGCCTGCGTCCGGGTCCCGCGCACACAGCCGCTGGCTGCAGAGCCGGCATTTAAGACGTGCTGCAGGAGAAAGGGGCGAGCGGGCCGGACGACGGTTGCCATCTGAGGGGTGCAGGGCAGCGGGTCCAGCCAAGTGGCCTCTTGCGTGTGCCATGTCATGGGTGTCCTTTCTGTGGCCTTTCTTCTACCTGAGACCCAAGGGGACACCAGCAAGAAAGGGACAATTTCTTTCTGAGCCACTGATGGCCCTGACGCAACACGTGCCCCCGAAGGTAGCAGAATGGTGGAGGCCCTGCGCTTTGCTCCAGCAGGGGCCGGTAGCTTTCCCTGTGTCCTGCTGGCTTCCTCTCAGGTGTTCTTTTGTCCAGAAACTCCTGGCTTCTGATACCTCGCAGCAGGCACCCTGATGCTTGCCACCGGCTTCGCCTTCCCTGTTAAGCCCAGAGAGTTGCACCCCCGGCCCCAGGGTCAGCCGCCGCGGGTCCAGGGGGGTGGGCGTGAGAGTCTGGGCTCTGTAGCGGGCCTCCCGGCTACTAAGCCACCTTCCTTGCAGTCCCCGTCAGAACTCCCCCGACGGCTTCTAAGCCACTCCTATAGACTATTTTACTTCTCCGCAATTTGACCTTGGAGGCCTGGGCTGGTGTGTTTTCAAAGACGTGATCGAAGAAGAAAAGGGCCTGAGGGGAGAGTGTGAGGAAGGGTGCAGAGTGACCAGAGCAGGACCCCCGTCAGTCTGTCTGAGCCCCGAGGAGGAAGGACTGGAGCCTTTCTTATCTAGGTGACAGAGATGGCACCACATCCAACTTGGGGCTACTTGGGGAGAATTTAAACCTTAGCTCAGTTTAGCACCAGTATTTATAGACTGAAGTGTGTGGCATTTTGCTTTTCATAGTGACAGCCTGCAAGGTTTTATAAATTTCCTCTGAAGTGTGTCGTTGGGGAAGAAGAAGCCTGTTAGCAGGAGTCTGTCCACTGCAGGCAAAGCCAGTTAGAACCTTCTGGTCTGGCTTCCTGCAGGACAGCATCAGCTTGCTGCTGGAGGCCGTGAGGACCAGGAACGAGGAGCTGGCGCAGACCTGGAAGAAGTCTGAGCAGTGGGCCACCATTGAGCAGCTCTGCAGTAAGTGGCCTCCTCTCTCTCCGTCCCCAGGGGCCGGTCACATGCCTTGCGGGGCCCAGGTGCGTGGTGCAGCTTCGTAGCAGTCGGGCCAGCACCCACGGGCCCGCACTGCTTTGACGCGCGCGCACCCGCTACACCAACGCCACGCGTCTCGGGAGCGATCGGAGAGTCACGCTTAGGCACACGGCAGCTTCAGGGGAGTGCTGAGAGGGCGGAAGCCCCTGAGGCGCCTCGGGGTCTTTGTTTCCCTTTTCCCACCAGTCCTCCGAGCTCTCCTGAGTGACAAGGAGAGAGGAGTCACCGAATAGAATGTATGGGGTCTTAGACCTCCGTGCCTCCCCAGTGAGACATACCGGGACGCCCTTTTAAGACAGCCTTAAAAATGTTTATCCGTTTTCTCAGTCTGAGGAGCAGTTACTGGGACCAAAATTAACCCAGAAGCACCTCCGTGGACTCGAAGCTGTCGGGGGGCCGGGGGAAGAGCGCTGCCTCGCTCCCGACGCTGAGACGCCCAGGACGCGTGGTCCTAAGAGTCTTAGCCTTCGTCGTGTCACGATTTAAGTTTTCTTTTTATGTCACTCTGACAACCAAACCTGTAACGCGGCCGGCCACGCGCACCGTGTATTCTTGCCCCAACGTTCTGAACTGCTCTCAGGTGTCTGGACGAGACAGGACAGAGTGCTCCCACCACGTGCCCTAAATAAAGCATCACAGCCTTGTGTCCTCGGTGGCCAGCGGTGCCCAGCACCTGGCATAACGTTCCACATAGCGGGCTCGCCAGCCCTGCCCCCGTGTTATTTTGGGATCCTTCGCACAGAAACACTGATTGCAACAGCGTTAACGTTTCAGAGCCCTCTCAGCCAGAGAGAGTGCCAGAAGGGACTGTGCACCAGGAAGCCGAGAGGGCACAGGAAGGCTTCCAGAGGACCTGGAGGGAGGGCAGGTTGGCCGGGAGGTTGGCCGGGAGGTTGTCCTGGGTACACGTTGGCCCAGTTGGTGGGAAGGAAACTAGATTTGAAAAGGTTCGCGTCTGACCATTTAGCCCGTTTTGCCATCTCCATTAGACACTGACCTAAAGCTAGTGGCTTCGTGGGAGCTGGGGCCCGCTGGCTCCACCCTTCGTGCTTAGAGAGGGAGGAAGAAACCCGCCCCCGTGTCCGGCCTCAGTGCCACAGGGCGACACAGCCTCTGCTTGGAGAGCTGCTAGCGTCCGTGCCTCCTTTGGCTACCGGGCGTGCTATGCGATCGTCGAGTCCGTCGACAGGCGTTCTGCTCATGGAGTTCTAGCTCCTGCGCCCAGGGTCGGCAGCAGACTGATATCGGGAGATCCTAGGGATACTCTGGGGCCACGGAAGAGTTCTCTGCTGAAAGCTAACACTGTGCTGCAAGAGCTCAGTCAATGGAAATACCGTCTTTCCAGACTGAAGACTCCATATAGTTTTAAGATGTCAGTTTTCCCCAAATCGACCATTATAATCCCAATCAAAATGCCCGTGGGCTTTTTCTTTTTTGGAGTGGGTGGGGGGGGATGAAAAATAAGTTACAAGATTTATCTGGGAATGCAGAGAGCCTCAAAAGCTATGTTGAAAAGAAAAGAAGTGGACCTTGACCTCCACAGCACACACCGTGCACAAAAGTGGGCCCTAGGCGGGTCACAGGCCTCATGGTGAAAGCCGAAATGACACAGGGGCGTCTTCAGGACCTAGAGGTAGGACAAACACTGATCATGAATGAGTCGGTCAGTTACTTTATCAAAATGACACGTTCGTGCTCATCACAAGGCACTATTAAAAACACGGAAAGGACGAAGATGGCTCTAAAAATGGAGAAGGAGCCCCTGCCCTTCCCAAAGCTGGAGCCAAAGCAAAGGCTTCGGAGGCGAAGAAGCAGCGCCGAAAGGCAGCCATGGCCGTGCACAAGAAATAGGCGCCTCACCCACCTTCCCATGGCTCAGCGCGCTGCGGCTCCAGAGTAACCCAGACACAGCAACCCAGACATCTCGGAACAGCGCCCCCGGAGAGGCAAGCTTGACCGCAACCACCGTGCCACCATGCAGTCCCTCTGACCGCCAAGTCAGCCTCGAAGAAGACAGGGCCGCAGTGCACTTGTGTTCATCGAGAGCCCACGGCCACGGCCACGGCCAGCAGCTGCGAAGAAGCCCACGACAGTGACGTGGCCAGAGTCGACCCCTGACCAGGCCTGACAGAGAGAAGGCACACGTCCAACTCGACTGGCTGCCCACCACGATGCTCTGGATGTTGCCGACAAAATTGGGACCCTCTGAAACTGAGTCCAGCTGGCTAATTCTAAATATAAAATTTTTTCACTGTAAAAAAAAACGCACACACATAAAGGCAAGGCACAGACCGGGAGGAAGTGTTTGCAACACGTGTATAGGACATGGGACTCGTCCGGGACGTACAGTTGTGTGCCACTGAACAGTGGCACACGTCCCGAGGTGTCATTCTACTTCTGCACGACTGGCAGCGCAGCCTCGTTCACACCGGCGTCCCCACAAACACGTGAGGAACGCGTAGCTCCGTGAAGCATGCTGGCATCACTAGGCGACAGGAAGCCTTCGGCCCCCTCACGTCTGATTGTGGGACCACCATCATACACGCGGCCCGTCGGAGACCGAAATGCTGTAGAGAACGGTATACGTTGATCATCAGTAATCAAACGGCACGAGTGAAACCTGGACAACAGGCTTAGACGTCGCGCAAGAAGATACAGCAATGGTCAACATAAGTCATCAGAGAAATGCAAATTAAATGAGTACATCGCCTATTCATTGGAGCGACTAAAAGGAACACCTGACAGCAGCTGGAACCCTCGCATGCCTGGCGAGACTGAGGGCACGACCCAGCGGGCCCACTCCTAGGTTTTTACCCAAAAGATGTGAAAGCACATCCACACAAAGACGTGTACAGGAATATTCACGGCAGCGTTGTTCACAATAGCTCAGAGCTGGAAACGACCCAGGTGTCATCACTAGGGGGCGGATAACCCGTGGTGGTGCTGGCACAGTACCATCTCGGCGATGAGGGGACCGCCGACACAGCGAGGCGGGCAGCTGACGGCAGCTTTATTTAGTAGGGCTCTGGGTGCAAGCAGGGGCCCCATGATAGGGGTTCCTGAGCTGCATCTGCCCGTTCCCAGAGCAGTTGCCTTGAGAGTCCCCGTTCACCTTGACAAGCAGAGCCGGGTGGAGTGGAGGTGACAGGGCTCTCCTTTCTTCCCGCCCTGCAGGCACAGTCGGAGTGCAGCTTCCGGGCCTCCAGGAGTACGGTGCCGTTGGGGGCCCCTCGCACGCCGCCGCGGCCGCCATGTGGGCCTGTCAGCACTGCACCTTCATGAACCAGCCGGGCACTGGCCACTGTGAGATGTGCAGCCTCCCCAGGACCTAGGGCTTCTGCCCCTGTGGCGGGGCCGGGCCCCTAGCCCTCCCTGAAGCCAGGACCTTTGTGACCGTGCCCCTTGGGCAGCCCTGAGGGGCGAGGCAAGGTAGCTGCCCCCCGGGTTCCTGATCCACAAGGCTTCTCAGCATCAGGCTTCCCTGGAGGAGGGCCCGGCTGGTGCTCTGCCAGCTGCTGGCAGCCACCTCGGGCAGGCGCAGCCCAGACACCTCTGGTGTCAGCCCCACCGTGGTGGAGGGACTGGCACCCCATCTTCACCCGGAGCGGAGGGGCGGGGCGCTCGCTGCTGCCTTGGCCTCCTTTCTCCTTCTGGATGCTTTCTGTTCTTGCCTCCCCCTGGTTTGGTGGGGGTCCCCCTTGGCCTCTCCATCCTGCTGCTCTGGGGCAGACCCTACCCTGAGGCCACTTCCTCCCTTCCCGGAGCCATCATCCGGTGGAAGTGCGAGTGGCCTCCGGCTCGCTGGCCTCCCTCTGCTTGATCTGCAGGTTGATTTGCTGCCCACCCTCTCTCCTGCTCCCGCCTGCCGTTCAGGTGGGATTTTAAAGTCGGCATTGGTTGTAATAACAGTTATTAGTAATTTCTGCCCAGAAGACTTTTATTTATTTTTTTTAAGATAAAAAATGCATAAAAGGGGAGTGAGAGAGACTAGTTTCCTCTTCCTTCTCTCCTCTAGTGAGTCCCCGTGGGTGTGTGCAGGGCGGGTGAGTGTGGCAGGGGACTCACAGTCAGTTCTCCATGGAAGCTAACCTCAGTGCCTGAGACTTTTCTGCCAAGCCACACAGCTGCAGGTACGGGCCGACCCAGCAGGAGTGGCGCGGTGGCTCCACCAGGCAGGTGGCTCCACCAGGCAGATGGCCCCTGCAGACGGCTGATGCCCCTGACCAGGCCCACATGGGGTGAGCCGAGTTAGCCAAGGTCAGAGCTCGGGTTCCCTTTGCCCCACACAGTCCCATAGCCCTGCCTGGCCCCTGGTCTCTGGCACAGTGACGTGGCCATCAAGAAAAGGAGCAGGGGCTTGACCTGTCGTGAGCGCACATGGGTCGGCTGTGGGGGCATCGGCAAGTTGCTGCTGTGCTGATGGAGTGAGGTCCGCACCCTCCCAGGACAGAGATCTGGGCAGACCTCGCACATGTGCCCTGTGGTCCCGCATTCTCTCCACGGCTGGGGTGTGTTCAGGCCCTTCCCCAGGGACTCGTGGGCATGCTGATGCCTCTTTGCCTTAACAAGAGCCGTATCTCTGAGCTGCCCCGCACCCATGGGAGAGGCCAACCAAACAGACTGCTTGGGGACTTCGGGTCTGCCCTGGGTTGGGGGCCAGCCTGTGGGACCCTCCCTTTCCCTCGGGGCTGTGCACAGAGCACTGAGTGTTGGCTTCTGCCCTAGTAAGGGCCACATCAGGCACCTCCGGGTCCACCCACCCAGACTCGTCTGCTCTTGGGGCCAGGGGCCAACTCGGCTGGGTCTGGCGGTGGCAGAGCAGCTGACCTGGAGGGGCCGGAAGGGCAGAGCAGCCCGGCAGAAGCGCAGCAGCCTGGCGAGGACTGGCTGGGGGCACTCTCAGCAGGTGCCCTGGCTGGAGCTCCTGCCTCATCTTCTGGTCCCTGCAATCAGATGCGAGGCCGCGCTGGGCCCTGCGTTCGGCCTGTCCCCCGGCGCCGGGGGAGGCCGGAGGTACCGGCTTCGAGAGCACCGGCCCCCCTCCCGCCTGCTCTGTCATCACCAAGCTAGTTTCGTTTTCAACCAATACTTCACTCGGAAGCTCTGGCATCGCATCATTCATTTGTTTCCTTCTGTCTTTTAGCTAAAGAAAAAGCTTTGTTGTGATTTCTCTGCTGGTTTTGAGTCACTCTGTTCAGTAACGCACTCCATTGTCCAAAGAGAGCCAGAGCTCAGCGTGAGCGGGTGGGGCATCCCGCCGCGGGCTCTGGCCCAGGCAGCCTAGCCACCTCTTGCACAGGGGAGGAGCCCACCAGCCCCACCTGCCTCCTACCTGTCCTCATGTGGGCACATCCTCATGCCACCAGACACTGTAACCCAGCAAGTGCACTCCTGCCCAGCCTCCCGACCGATCTGCTTCGGGAACTCCTGCCTAGGTTCTGCTGGGGGCTCGCGCCAGTGTTACCTGGCCTCCAGCCCTGCAGTGCGGCCCATACCTGAAGCGCTGCCTACGCCCCATCTGTGGCTCTGGGCCCCAAGGCTTCCCCTTGAGCACTGAGTTTTTGCCTGCAGGGCAAGTTCATGGCTTCTTGTGTCAGGCAGAGACGTCCCTGCTCTCCCTTGTTGCCCCCTCGCCCCCAGGCTCCCCTGCCCCGCACTTGCAGCTGGAGGTCTGGGTGGGAGAGGAGAGCCTGGCTTCCCTCGGGCTCCCCCGCCTGCCAGTCCTGTGCTGCTCCTGGGCCTCTGCATGCTTGGACAGGTGCACATGGCCAGGCAGCAGGTGAAGAACAAAGTTCAGAGGCCACAGGCCTGCTGGGGAGCGAGGTCGGAGGTGATAAGCTGCCTGGCCCGAGTTCCTTGCCCCTCTGATTTCGGTGCCCGCCTTCACACGGACCTGTCAGCACTACTGTCCTTCACAGGTGACTACTTCCTGAACAGGTACACAGAACACCCACTGATGTCTGGGGGCCCTGTGGCAGGCACCCACCTCCAATCGTGCCCCTGAGGTGACTGCTTTCAACAGCAGTGCGGGTCACGTGGAAGCAGCTCCAGAGGGCAGGTGCTGCTGCCCACCCGGCCCTGGGCGTCTGAGGCCGCTGAACCTGTTGGCTCTAGGAAGTGAGAAGGTTCTCAGACCTCCCCCAAGAAATTAAGCTTATAGAATGTACTGCTTGGGGAAAAACGGGGTAGTCTGTTTTGGGGTCTTTCCTGGCACGTGCGACCTAGTGGCACGCTCTGCTGCCTATGAGAAGTGCCAGCACAGCCCGCAGCCTCCCTGCACACACTGTGCTTTCTCCCCCGAGTCTGGTGGTGTCATTTGTCCTTCGGGAGATTACGCCACCTCGCAACCTGGCATAGAGACCACTGACCGTTGGCAGCCTTCATCTTGCACACTCAGGTGGAGTCCCCCCAGCCCCTGTGTCACCCCTTAGCTGTTTGAGCCAGCCTCGTTCTGTTAGACTGGTGATGTTCATAAATCTGTACACTTAGAATGGGCTACATGGGCTTAGAGCCAGGGGCCTTCCAGCCTCTGAGCAGAAGGGAGTGGGACAGAGGAGTGACCCACTAACCAGGGCCCTCCATGCTGGAACAGCCTGGGAGGACTGGGATGTGGGCTTCACAGGGCTGGTCTAGCCCAGGACACCTGTGCCTGGGGCGGGGGAGGGGGCGTCAGTGAAACTAGAAGGCCACACGTCCTCACTTCCTAATTCCGAAGGCCAGGTGGGAGCTGGTCTCATGCCCCGTGGCCCTCTGTTCCCCATCCAGGACAGCGTTTCCTGCCCAAAGACCCGGGAGAGAGCACAATGGCAAACACCACACTCACGCTGCATCCATCCCAGCACCCAGAGACAGTGGCGGTCCACCGCCCTGCGGGCTGAATGCCCACTTCCACAGGGAGGGAGGTTAGAACGTTTCGCTGGTTCTTTGTTTCGGCGTGCACACCAGCCTCTGTGATGCCAGAAGCGTTGGGTAGCTGGGCCCCTTTGACATGCCATGCCCGGCCATGCACCCACATGCCTCTCACTCATGGATGTCTGGCCCTGGAGATTGTCCCATGGGCTTTTTAAAGAAGAGGGGTGTAATTGACCCCACCATCTGCAGGCACCTTTCAGGGGTGCTGGGGATCTCCCAGTTTCTCATCTAGAGGAGAGCTCATGGTCCCTCTGGTGGGCACCTCTCCCAAGGTCTGGAGAGGGGAGACAGCCCAGTGAGGGTGGAGCGGTGTCTCCCCCTGGCTTCGCCCTCGCCTTCAGGCCGACTGCCCATCATTTCCTTTGTGTTCCTCTGGCTTACCCCACTGTCCATTCAAACCCACACACCCACGGACAGGTCGGCTGTTCAGGCATGGAGGGAGGGGATACTTCTGTCCATGTTTGCCCATAGCTAGCCCCCAGCTGTGGAAGTGGCAAGAGCTGACACCGCCCTCCTACTCCTGGACTCCTCCCCAGCATCCGGCTGCTCCCCAAACCCTAGAGAATAGCTTTAGGAGCCGACTCAAGGCCTCCGCCCCCGCCCTGGGGGAGCCGGCCAGCTGCTGGCCGGGGTCTGGATCCGGCCCAGTTCTAGGGCGCACGAGGAGAGCGGGACTTGGTGCCGGACCAAGGGAGCCCCGAGGGCCTAGGTCGGGCGTGGGAGATGTTGCCGAGCCGCACGGCACTTCCGGGAAGTCGCCTCGGACCGCGCGGAGGGCAGACGAGAGGGCAGGCCACTGAGCTTCCCGCGTTCGGCTTTAAACACGTTGGCCCTTTGCTAGACCGCAATGCCCACAAGCTTCCGCGGAGCCACGGAGCCGGGGCTCCAGCCCAGCCCAGCCCCTATGGCGGGCCCAGGTCCCGC